TAAAAAACATGATTTCATTCCCTTTAGTCCAATCCAGTCCAACACTAAACCCCGCCGCCTCTGCCACCAGCACGGCCACCCGGACTTTTCTCATCCCCCACCATTACCATACTCACAAATTAGCTTTCATCTCATCACAATTTTCCCATCCCGCCGACCTCCCCCGTCGCCTCAACCGCCTCCGTATCCAGGCCATAGACGCAGCACAGTCTTACAACTACGAAGCCCAGCTCGTCAACCGCTTCTCTCAATCAACCAAGCTCAAAATCGCCATTATTGGATTCGGCAACTTCGGCCAGTTCCTTGCCAAGGCCTTTATCCGACAGGGTCACACGGTTTTCGCACATTCACGTTCAGATTATTCGTCAATAGCGCAATCCCTTGGCGTCGCCTTCTTCTTTGACACCCACGACCTCTGTGAACAACACCCAGATGTTATTCTTCTCTGTACCTCCATTATTTCCACTGAATCAGTCCTCAAATCCCTCCCCATTCAACGCCTTAGGCGCAATACACTATTCGTCGACGTTTTATCCGTAAAAGAATTCCCCAAGAATATTTTCTTGCAACATCTTCCCTCCCATTTTGATATTCTTTGTAGTCACCCCATGTTTGGGCCCGAAAGTGGGAAAAATGGCTGGCAAAATTTAGCATTTGTTTTTGACAAAGTTAGGATTGGGAATGAGAAGTCTAGACTTACGCGGGCCGAGACTTTCTTGGATATTTTCAAGAACGAAGGGTGTAGAATGGTGGAAATGACTTGCGCAGAGCATGATAAATACGCAGCGGGGTCTCAGTTTATTACGCACACAATGGGGAGGATTTTGGAGAAGTTGCAATTGCAGGGTACCCCAGTTAATACAAAAGGGTATGAGACTCTGTTGAATTTGGTGGATAATACGGCCAGTGATAGCTTTGATCTGTACTATGGGTTGTTTATGTACAACAAGAATGCCATGGAGCAGCTGGAGAGGTTGGATTTAGCGTTTGAGGCATTGAAGAAAGAGTTGTTTGGGCATTTACATGAAGTTTTGCGGAAGCAATTGTTCGGGAAATCGGAGGAAAGTCCTAGGCTGGTGCTCGCAAAGTTGCCGAAGAAGAATAGGACTTCATTGTTGCCCGCATCTACATCAGAGACAGAGACCGTTGTGAACAATACCTTGGTGAACAATAACAACTAGGATGGTTCTACTTGTAGTAGGTATGCTTTTCTTCCAAATTGCTCTCTCTTGATTTCAACACATGATGAGTTTTTTTTTTATTAGTTTGTAATAAAGGGTGAATTGTATAACACTCGTGTATTCATATGTATATAAAAAACTTGAAAGTTGGGACTTGTCGTACCAAGAACATTCTGAAAATTGAAGAACTTGGTTGACGATCTTGTTTGTTAGACAAACTCTATTTAATTCGATGGTGTAGGTACTAAAGAATTCTATTCTGATTTTAGCGTGTTTCTGCATAGAATTACGTTTATTTCGAAGTTTCTAACCTATCACAGAATCATAAAAGGGAGCAATAGTACCTTCCCAATTCTATAATTGGGGAAGGTTCTCAAATTCAAGACATTCATCAGACCCCAAACGATTTAAGTAGATGTGGAAGTAATTCGCAAAGGAAGGCGAAGGAGTAACTAGCGTTGGAGATTGACTCGTGTGCTTGACTGGAGTTCTTTATATCAATGAAGGACGAGCGTTGGTTCGTACAAACTGTCTAATAGCCCATCCAAGTTTTATGAAATGTGCCAGGCATTTTATTTTAAATATAGGTTTGCACAGCATAACTAGAAACAGAGCCCATCTCCTCCTCGACTTCAAAATGGCTGTATGACATGACCAATCATTGTGTTAATTATGTATTAAATAGACGTGTTTCCATCTGGTAGCTTTGTTACAAAGAAGATACATCACTTGCCCTAAAATAGAAGAAGTCGTGTTTTCCATACAAAGTTGTGAGACAATGAAAGAAGTAGCTGGATAGAGAGGAGAAACTATAAGGTTTGGGATCTGTGTGCTCGCTACTTTGAGGCTCCAAGGGGTTCAAATCGATTGGGTTGAATAGGTTGAAAAAAAATATACAACCTGTGTGTTTAACATTGAACTGTTTGTAAATGACATTTCGGATTTGGTTTATGGTAATAAGTTGTTAGTTGTTACTATGCTAGTTACTTGTGCAAACATATCCTTTGGAATACTCTGCAATTAATGATCTAGACTTCTGATCATCAGCTAGATAGATAGCATTATTCTTATAGAATACTGAACTTTTGAAACTAGCATATTTTGAGTCTTCCATAATAGAAATTACCACGACGTGCAATCAGGGGCGGATTGAAATAGGAAAAAAGCCCATAATTTTTATCCCAAACCCAACAATGTGAAGTCTTTGACATGAAAAAAAGCCCACATAATTCCAATTTCTTACTTAATCGTACTTCCCTTCCCCCAATTCTCAAACCCCTGCGATTTTGCGAACCCAGGCAATTCCAATTTCCAATCACCATATTTTGAAAGAAGAAGAACAGATTGAAGAAGCAAAATCTTGTAATCTGTTGATGTTGAAAATTGTATGAACAAGATTCAAACCAACTTAAAATGCAAATGAGAATTTTATTGATAGTGATTTGCAAATTACAATTGTAACTACAAATGTTTGCTCTTTTTCCTTGAAGGAGATATTTGAAACATGAAGTGTTTTTTGAACTGTTTTTCTTCTTCTTTTTTGTCAAGACTCTCATCCTTCCTTTTATAGGAAAAGGTCCACATGCATTCTTCATTTTATTGTCTTATCAGCTACAGTATCGAGTTGAGAAAATACATCATTGATATGTTCGGATTGGTTAGTGAGCTCAGCTTGTCAGGTCATCATGAGTTAACCTTACATGTGGTCCCCAACAATTAATGAATTACTTAGGAAATGAAGCTATAACATATGATTGGTAGAATTAGAAGGTGTTGTCATGAGCTTATCCAAATGTAATTGATTGATTGGACGTTTGACAATATGTAAGGAATCTTCAATCATTATGTCACCTTAATAACGATGATCATTAGTACGAACTGGTCTCAAATACCTGACCTTAAATTAGTATGAGCTTAATGCATATAACAAACCTTATTTAATGAAGTCGCGTGTCGGATATCAACATAGTCCATCTCTCTTTCTTAATTTTATTGTTTATGCTTTGGTAGCTATTTATGCTCGTATAATTTCATCACATCCCAAAATCAAATCATAGAAACACCAAGCCTGAAGCAAAATTTCGATGTGTTTCCTTATGCGTGTTACAGTAGTTTGAATAGTAGTGAAATTGAGGTTTACATGTTGCGACTTACGAGGAGAAGAATTTATGCTCTGACTAAGAATTTTTGGTTAGTTAATGCTTAATGAGTAGGAAATTTCGAATTTTGAGATTATTTGATATGATTAAAGTGAAATTAGGTACTTCGGGATGATAAACGTCATTTTTAGTGCTTCAGCATTCTGTTTTTACTCAATTTATCATAATCAGGGAAGTTTCAACAACGAACTGAAAATTGAAGAATTACTGCACTATATAATTTTTTTTGCTTAATATGAAGAGATTTTATTTCATTAAATATGGGTAGTTATTTCATTTATTAAGTAGAATTGTTACATTGATTAGGTGAGTGGCTGGGCATTGGAATAGTTTGGAAAGGACGGAATTCTTAAAATGAGATCTCTTCCATTGAATCTAGTCCATGTGTGGAAGTTGAGTGAGTTGGTCTAATTTCTAATTTGAAATTATTTTTTACGTAATTCTATCTCGCTCCCGCTGAACCATAATTTTGGGTCCGCCCCTGCGTGCAATCCAGATGTTACACGNTGCTCTGACTAAGAATTTTTGGTTAGTTAATGCGTAATTCTATCTCGTTCCCGCTGAACCATAATCTTAGGTACGCCACTGCGTGCAATACAGATGTTACACGTCTAGAACTATCTATCTGGAAAATATGGAATATCATTCTCAGAGAGAAAAAAAATGCCATTTACACAAAAATAAGGTGGTTATCCAATTATGTTAATCCTTGCGCATTATACTTTGCTGTTGTTAACAGCTTGAACGACGGGGTTTAATTTTTTCTTTATCTTTTGGTGTTATAGGAATACGTTATCTACCCTATCAACGGAATTATGAGTGATGAAGACATTTCCTGGGTACTGAGATTTCCTTACTGCTGATCAGTAAAATCATTTCTTCCTCCCTCATTTTCTTAACCTATTACTTTCTTTTCTTTTCTAATACTTCTATTTTCCCCAAGTCTAGTATTCTGCTCGATTGGGGTTTCCATGTTGTATAAGCTGTTTATGTGGTCCAACTTCATCAATGTCTTCGATGCACCCATATTCGTAGATAGTAAGGTTGAGTTACAGCTCTTGTAATTGATTCAAAAGACCTTGGCTTCAGTAGATAAATACGAGATACAATACAATACCATATAATGCAATAGAAGCATCAAGAAATTGTTGCAACAGCGATACTCAGGACAAGTCTTCGATCAGCCACTATTATTGCAGTCACACAACAAACCGAAAGAGTAGAAAGATAGAGCTTGTCATGGAAAGATTAACTGTAAAAAGAAAGATCATATAATAACTACACCATTGAACTACTGTGGAAATAATCTCACTACTTTTCTACTTACCAACTAGAAGAGAATCTAAATTTTCGCTTCATCAATTGGCCTCTTTGCCTGCTGGTAGAAGTTGTAATAAGTATCCATGTAGTTTCTTACTGCCTTGTATAATCTTGGCCTTTTATCATTAATAAGTTCCTCCAATGGTTCAATCTCTTTTTCAGGTTCTGGAGTACAGAATATGGCCATAGTGTGCCTTTCCTTGGTGGAGTTTGCCAGTGCTGTGTGCACTGGGCTCTTGAAAATTCCATTAGTCATTATCTGGAGGAATAACATAGCAAAAAATAAGGAACATATCTGCAGAAGATAGCCAAGTTTATGAATTTCTATTCTGTCTTGGTCAGATCTCATTTAATCAGAGACCTAATGCATGCACAATTTTCTATATTCTTATATCATATTGAATTTTAGATGATATGATTCTATATACCTCCATTTGATCACCGACAAGAACAAGAAAAGCATAAGGTATTATAGGAACACGAAACCACTTATCATCTTTCATGACTTGAAGACCTTCGACTTCATTGTCTTGCAGGAGAAAAGTTATTGTGGATCCATCTGCATGTGGCTTGATTCCGAGAGCAAGATCGGGCCTTGGACATGGAGGATAATAGTTGAATCTTGCACCAATTATTCTACGCTCACCAAATTTCTTCAAAAAGCAGTCCTCTTCTAAGCACAGTGACCTTGCCATGGATTTCAGAAGCATTTTTTCTGTCTGTTGTATCCTTGTAGCTAACTCATTCAATATCGTCCTGCAGAACGATGAGGTCTTCGCATCGCACTTACAAGAAATAAATCACTCAACTTATATAGTTGTTTGAACTGATTAAAAAATTACCTAAAAGATTGTGGATTTTGAGGCCAAAACTGTCGTTTTTTCTCATCCTGTGGGATGAGTGAAAGGTACAAGCGATCGTTCCAATCAAGCGTTTGATCGTGGAAAAGAATCATATCATTGCCGTACCCATCAAAGTCACCTTTCTGTCTCGCATATTTTTCCTTCTCCATCATTGGAAGCTGAAAAAATTGTTTAGCAACTTCACATACTTCTTCCAGAAAGGAATTTTCAATTCCATGATTGATAGCCTGGAATTCAATTCCAACCCCAACTCATTTAAGTTTTAACCTAAAATCATAATCTGAATGAACAAAAAAAAAAAAAAAAGCAGATTATTTTTAACCTGAAAGCATCCCCAGGAGCTAAGTGCTGATTGAAGTTGATCTGAATCATTCAATTGAGTAATATCAATAACTGGAATGTCTCCAAGGGGAACAGAAGCATCTATGGTTCCAAAATTAGGACTTTCCCAAATATAATTATTTGGAAACTCAATTCCATTTTCTACCAGTTCTTGCACAGGTTTTCCATTTTCTAGTTCAACTCCGGCCATGAATCAGAATCACTACTAGGAGGAGAGAGGGAAAATAGTTACCTGGAAGGAAAATGAATTTTCTTAAACTTGATTATTTAAAGTGAGGTGAACATAGAGATAAGATTAGAAGACAACCAATGAGAGTGGAGACACAAAAAATATCTTCCGACTTTATGAATGAGTAATGTTATTCACCTCCACTGAGGATGAAAACACCGTCTATATAACTTTAAATTATAGGTTAAATAAAATGTGAAATTAAAAGATTTATTTAATTTCACCTATCATTTAATGTCACATATCGGGACGTTACATACAGCGCAATAATTCTACAATTATAACCCTAGTCCAATTAAAAGATAAAAGATGCGGTACAACCAATCTCAGTATTACCCTTCTATCCTTTTGTCTCCTCCCTCCAATCATAATTCTTCAGTGGAAAACTTTACCCATCCCACTCAGGGGCGGACCTAGAAAAATTTTTGAGTGGGGGCGGAGCCAATTCGTCGAAGTAGGGGGTCTAAAGTTGAAGGGGTGGGGGCTTACGGGGGTTGCCCCCGAAAATTTTTTTTTCGGA